CACTCACCTCATAGTTCTAGCCGACCTGTGACAATGAGACTGTCACAGGTCGGCTCAGTAGATCGGGAGGTGAGAGAACACATTCCGGCATTCGCTCACCTCTCGATCCTGTCACGGCTCTCTGCCGTGACAGGGGAGGGGCTGGATTCCCCGCTCCGATCCTCCAGCGCTGACTGGCGGAACGGACGGGGGAGGGGGCGGGTACAGCTGGCTCTGCCTCTAGATAGGCAGAGCCAGCTGTCACTCACGCAGCTGGGCGGATCCCGGCATAATTGTCGGGATCCGCTTCAGCTGCGGCGTCTCAGTATACCGCGAGCAGCAGCTCGCGGTATACTGTGGCGTCTCAGAATAGCTCGCTATATACTGAGCCTAGGGTGACGGGAGGACGCTAGTTTGTGTCCTCCCGTTACCCTAAGGAGAACTATGGGGAAAAGCCTTAACCCCATAGTTCTCCTTTTAATGGTGCTTATAAAACATATCAAACCAGATTTCTTATTTTGGCTGGTTGCAAGCCTTTGTTTTCATCCTCCATGTGACGGGATTATCATTTACAATGGTTGGACTGTACAAAATGTTGGCTCCAATGTGTCCAACAAAGTGAATACCAAGATGCTCATTTATCCTGATCTGACCATCAGAAAATGTTTCCAGGAGATAATACTGTGTGTGCGTTTTGTCTCCCTGCAGCGTCTGTGTCTAAATGGCAGCACCGGGCAGGAAGTCCTAGTCCGAGCCGGATTGGAAACCGTGGAATCCCTGGCATTTGACCCCATCAGTCACTTACTTTATTGGCTTGACGCTGGCAGTAAGAAAATTGAAGTACGTCAATGGCAGTTTTAGCGTAAAAGAATGTTTTCATGAACGATTATAATGTAAGGCACGATATGAGAGATGCAGGATTTGGCCAAAAGTTTGTGGTCACCCGACCATCACACCTATATGAGTTTGACATCCCATTCTAAAACCATGGATATTAATATAGAGTTGGATCCCCCTTTTGTGGCTATACCTGCCTCCTCTGTTCTTGGAATGCTTTCCACAAGTTTTTGGATCGACAATCCAGTTAATCACAAAGATGGTCAGTAGGGTTGAGGTCGGGGCTCTGTGCAGGACACTCGAGTTCCTCCACACCAAGCTGGTCACACCGTGTCTCTATGGAGCTGGCTTTATACACAGGGGACAGTCATGGTGGAACAGAAAAGGGTCTTCACCAAACTGTGACTGGAAGAACACAATGGTCTACAATGTCTTTGTATGTGGTAGAAATAACAGAACCTTCACTGGAAACACCTGAACTCTATCATTTGGAGGGGGGTCCATATAGATTTGGCTATGAGGTGCAGATATCAAATAAAGAGATACACAGTGTTGTGCCCATTGAGTCAAAAAGGTATTTGTGAGATCAGGGTACTGATGTTGGGTGAGAAGACCAATGACACATTCCAATTCATCCCAAAGATGTTCAGTAGGGTTGAGGTCGGGGCTCTGTGCAGGACACTGGAGTTCCTCCCCACCAAGCTGGTCACACCATGTCTTTATGGAGCTGGCTTTGCACACAGGGGACAGTCATGGTGGAACAGAAAAAGGTCTTCACCAAACTGTTACCACAAGGTGGGTAGAGCCCAATTGTCTACAATGTCTTTGTATGATGTAGATGAACAGACCCTTCACCGGAGACACCTGAGCTCCATTACTTGGAGGAGTGTCTGTATACTTTGATCATATAGTGTAATATGAATAGTCACGTCCACAGGACAATATAATTATTGGAAGAGCTTACTTTGCAATTCAAATATAGAAATACCTTTTTTGTGAGAAATGCCCAAAATGACAGAATTGAGCATTGCTATTAACACATGAATATCCCCATACTCCCACACTGATAGGGCCTGAACAGGCCAGCGGTTCCCTCCATGCTGGTCACAAGCTAAAGCCCATATGAGTCCTGCTTTGTATTTCCTGCCATCGTTGTTCCTTTACACCTGTGCAGTCTTGTGAAGATTTGCCTTTAGGATGCCACACTTCTAAGCAAAATCCGGAGCCTCGCCCTTCTGTTATCTACATCAGTTCATTGCCCTGCCCGTTCAGATATAATTGCACTCATAGAAATGTTAGAGGCCAGGAGAGGATGATAAAAATGGAGGGTCCATATGCATACAACTGTTAATCAGATTGTTTTGCAGGTTGCCAACCCAGACGGGGACTTACGACTGACTGTTCTCAATTCCTCCATCTTGGAAAGGCCCAGAGCTTTGGCGTTGGTTCCACAGGAAGGGTAAGTCACACATACCAATCACCTAGAAGCATTTTGGAAGTTCAAGAAATCGATTAGCCACTTCCTGTCTACATGCCTTCTCTTTAGCATTGGCTGCACCGCATTGCTCTGAGTTAGCAGTTTAACCTTTCTGATCTCCATCAGAAGCCCGTGCATTAGGGCTGACAATGAAGGAGAACAATAGGGAGCATGGCCACCCTATTGCACGAAGTGCCTAAACAAGGATCTACATGGCAGGATTATCAGGGATTATTTTAGCGAAAGCTGCAGAATGTTAAAAAGTATTTTGAGATTATGTTGATGGATGTAAAATGTATCATCATGTAATCATGTGAAATGGATCTCTGCGATTTACCCAACCCCAAGAGAACCCCCCTCCCCCCAAGAATACCCCCCACCAATTTTTTGTAAACCCCTTTACATATTGCTTTTTATTCAAGTCTTCTTACTGGTGCTGTGATGTCAGTGCAGCCTCCTCTGGCAGCGGAGGGTGGCATTCTTGCAGGACTGAATGGTGATTTTATAACAACGTGTGAGCTCTGCTCAGTTGTGCAGAGCTTACAGGAATTGGAAAGAATTAAGAATTAGTGTCATTCTGCCCTGATGAGATTTTAGTGATTGGGTTTACATATAAAGATGGAAATGTGGACTGTGCCAACATGCTCTTGCCACCAGGTTGATGTTTTGGACGGACTGGGGTGATGAGAGACACGGCATCTACAAGAGCGAGATGGACGGTACCTCTGTGAGTCATCTAGTCTCCGACGGCATCAAATGGCCCAATGGGATCTCTGTGGATGAGAACTGGATCTACTGGACTGAAGCTTACATGGACCGGATAGAGAGAATAGACTTCAACGGACAGCAGAGGATGGTGATCCTAGACAACCTGCCCCATCCCTATGCCATAGCGGTGTTCAAGGTAAGAGCGTGGGATAGGTGCGCTTCCGCCTCGTTTACCCACGTCGCCGTTTCCAATAATCTGTCTCTTCCGATCACAGAACCAGATCTACTGGGATGACTGGTCCCAGCTGAGCATCTTCAGGGCATCCAAGTACAATGGCGCCCAGACGGAGGTTCTGATTGGCCGGCTGTCTGGTGTCATGGACATGAAGATATTCTACAAAGGAAAATGGGAAGGTAATCGGATACATAGGGATCTCTTTATAATCATTGATCACAATTACAGTGGCTTTTTTTTTTTCCCCTTGGGGGAAATTTAATTTCCACCAATTACACCTATTTATTAAAGGAGAACTATGGGGTTAAGGCTTTTCCCCATAGTTCTCCTTAGGGTAACGGGAGGACACAAACTAGCGTCCTCCCGTCGCCCTCGGCTCAGTATACCGCGAGCTGTAGCTCGCGGTATACTGAGACGCCGCAGTATACCGCAAGCTGCTGCTCGTGGTATACTGAAACGCCGCAGCTGAAGCGGATCCCGACAATTGTGCTGGGATCCGCCCAGCTGCACGACTGACAGCTGGCTCTGCCTATCTAGAGGCAGAGCCAGCTGTACCCGCCCCCTCCTCCGTCCGTTCCGTCAGTCAGCGCTGGAGGATCGGAGCGGGGGCGGGGGGGATCCAGCCCCTCCCCTGTCATGGCATAGAGCCGTGACAGGATTGAGACGTGAGCGAACGCCGGTATGTGTTCACTCACCTCCCGATCTACTGAGCCGACCTGTGACAGTCTCATTGTCACAGGTCGGCTAGAACTATGAGGTGAGTGAAAAGCACGCGCCTCATAGTTCTCCTTTAACCTTTAACCTTCTCTGTGTATTTCTCTGCTAAATTCCAAACCATAAAACAGCCCCATAAAGTCTGCAATCAATGACCGACTTTTATTTGTATTTTCACAAAAACCTTCGCTCTCCGTTCTCTTAGGTAAATTTGACAAAAAAACAAACAAATTAGGTACAAAGTTGAACTTTTGTTTCGGCTCTGCTTTACTGTAACAATAAAGAGTGACTCCGGGCACTTTGTGTTTTGGTTTTGGATAGCGTGGGGTAGAATTCAGGTTTGTGTCGGGATTTTATTTCCATGCTGTAGGTCGCAGGGGCAGGATACAAATATTGTGTTGGATTTCACTTTTAGGGAGGTTTCTGTCAAGAAGTGTAATGTCACTGGTGACGCAACTCCAAGTATACAATGGTGCCACAAGGGGACACTTCAGACAGAAACCACAAAGAAGGATGTTCAAAGATCGGCTTTTACGATTTGTCAAAGCTGCACTCTGGGCACACACACTTTTCATATAATTACATTTTTCAATAGCCAGAAATTGCATAAATCCACTGTGTGGGTACCAAATACCTATGCAAACCCAGATATAAGCTTGTAAAGCAGTGATGTGATATCACTGTGCTGTACATAGCTTATGTCCAACTAGGGTCCAGCAAAGAGCTGTACTCTTTGGCTTGGTTATATTCATAGAGGTTAAGTAAGCTCTTGTTGGGGTGAAATGCATTGAAGGAGAAGAAGTAGGGGTTGGCCAAGAGCTATATGCTTTGGCTTGGTCATAGAGGCTAACTAAGACCCGGTTATGGTGAAAGGTGTCATAGGAGGAGGAGGAGGAGCTTGGTCTTGCACTTATGTACTTTTGGCTTGGTCATGGAGGTAGACTAATTAACTTTTGGGGTGAAACGATTCGGAGGTGGAGCAGAGGTAGGTCTTTGCAAGACCCTGCTCCTTTACTATGATGTGATTTACCTCAACAGGGGCTTAGTCAACCTCTGTGACCAAGCCAAAGCACTCCACACTTCGCCGCACCCAGATCCTTTTCCACAAATGTGTTTCACCTCAACAGGTGCTTACTCTACCCTCTATGACCAAGCCAAAGCACACAACCGTTAGCTGATGGTTACGTGCTGATGGTTGTTTGCTTTGGCTTGGTCATAGAGGGTAGAGTAAGCCCCTGTTGAGGTGAAACACATCATAGGAGAAGGAGTAGGGTTTTGCAAAGACCTATATGCTTTTGGCTTGGTCATAGAGGTTGACTTAAGCCCCTGTCATAGTCATAGAGGTTGACTTAAGCCCCTGTTAGGGTGAAACACATTGTAGGGAGGAGTAGAATTTCTTGAAGAGCTATGTACTTTGGCTTGGTTGTAGAGGTTGACTATGCCCCTGTTGCGGTTAAATGCAGCAAAGGAGCAGGAGCAGGGTCTTGCAAAGAACTGCAGACTTTTGGCTTGGTCATAGAGGTTGACTTGAGCCCTTGTTGGTGTGAAACACATTTTAGGAGGAGTATGGTTTGGGGAAGAGCTATGTGTGCTTTGGCTTGGCCGTAGAGGTTGAATAAGTCCCTGTCGGGGTGAGACACATCAGAGGAGAAGGAGCATGGTCTTGTGAAGAGCTGTGTGCTTCTGGCTTGGTCATAGAGGTTGACTAAGCCCTTGTTGGGGTGATGTGCATTGGAGGAGGAGCAGGGTACGGCGGAAAGCTATGTGATATGACTTGGTTTTGTTAAGTTGCAATAAAGCTGTTTGAAAAAAACAAAAAACAAATGGCAGATGTACCACATTTGATCGGTCTCTTTTTTTCCCTGTACAGGTGAGAACGCCTGCTCATCCCACCCCTGCAGCCTGCTGTGCCTGCCCAAAGCCAACAAAGGCCGAGCATGTCGATGTCCAGATGGAGGGAAGCAGCAGGTGTTGCCCAGCGGGGAGGTGCAGTGCGACTGCCCACAGGGGTACCAGCTGAAGAACAGAACCTGTGTGAAGATGGGTGAGTTCTGTGTGATCCAAAAAAAAAAATCCTTCACACCCTAACCAGATATCAGTATTGAGTGAATGCCCCTTTTACAGCTGCAGCGAGAGTTTGCACTGATCTGATGTTTCCTCCTTTACAGAGAACACGTGTCTGCCCAGCCAGTACCACTGCAGTAACGGCAACTGTATCAGCAGCATCTGGCAGTGTGACAATGACAACGACTGCGGAGACATGAGCGACGAGAAAGACTGCCGTAAGTCATCCTCCATATGACCTAGTTGCGTGAGTAAGATGTTCTGCACTAAGCCCTCGTTCACACCTGAACGTTTTGTAGCGCGTTCTACGCTCGACGAACGCTCTACAAAACGCTAAAAAATATAAATCCCATTGTATTTAATGGTCTCGTTCCCACCTTGGCGTATTTCCGCCCGTCCCTAACACGCTACAAATTGGGCCACGCCTGAAAAGGTACAGGTACTACTTTGGGCCGTTTTGTTGCGCGTTTGCATTGGGCTACAGCCAAGTAGCCTTCGGAAACGCGCGGCGGTCGCGCAACTTTTTTACCGCGAATCGCGGTAAAAAAAGTGCGACGGTCGCGCGACAGACGCGCATATGCAATACGCCTAGGTGTGAACGAGACCTTAGAGCCTGTCAGATTTAGTCCGTTGTGCAATCAGATTCCTTTAGAGAGCTGTAGACCTGCAGTGGTCACTCTGGGCTATGCAGGATAAAAGGCATGGGAATCACAAGACTGGCTTAACGGGATTAGCCAATGGATTTAGGTTGACAATACACGGCCCTTCATGGTTACAAAAGTCCACTGTATAGATAATGACATTAATATTACAATCACAGTGTTGGTGCGCTGTGCTTTGTTCTTTTAATAATCTTTTTTTGTTCTTTTATGTTCTCAGCAACCACGTCATGTGACCCGGATACACTGTTCCGGTGCCAGGAATCAGGGACCTGCATTCCGCTCTCCTATAAGTGTGACCTGGAGGATGACTGTGGAGACAACAGCGATGAGAGCCACTGTGGTGAGTCATGTGTAGATTTACCCCAGCTGATGTGCTGCATGGAACCTCTTCTATTTGTATGCTACCAACGCATCCCAGAGTACACAGGCCATTCACACCAGTCCCTGCCTCCTGAAGCGGACCTCCGGCCTCTCCTGCAGCCTTGCACACTTGTAACGGCTCCTCTCCTGGACTGAAATGGCTTCCTCTGATGTCATTGCACACTGGGAGCTCCTCACAATGTGCATTAGAAGCTGCAGCAAGTCAGATAGAGCTCCGCCTCGTTTCCTGGCTGCAGGACGTCCAGCATCATGTAGTCTAACCTCCCCAGCCTGACTCTTCCTGTCCTGCCCCTTATATTCATTGGATTTCAGTTGTGTCCATCATGGAACCAGAGGTCTTGCTGCACTCCTTACCGGAACATCCAAGAGACCCGTAAAGACGGGTGGGTGCTTGTAGTTACCACGGACGGCACCGTGAATAACACAGATGAAGAAATAATGTCACCAGCACACCATAAGCGTAATTTAGCAAAAGTCCATTTAATGACACATTGCCCTTCAATGCATTGAAGGGCAATGTGTCATTAAATGGACCTTTGCTAAATTACGCTTATGGTGTGCTGGTGACATTATTTCTTCATCTGTCCATCATGGAGACTCGGCATCCCATGTGGGAGTTACCTAGGGCTTTCCGCATGCAAATACAGCCTGCCGAGGAGCGCCTACTTCAGACTGACGCCTGCCCATCAAGGCATTTGGTCGGACGTGTCCTGCTGATGTCATTAAGATGCTTCTCAGCTTGACAGGAAGCTACCGACCTCCTCGGATATGCAATATTGGTGAAAGCTGAGCGTCCTTTTCTATCACCGCCCCCATTCCACAGAGCTGGGTTGGGAAAGTAGCCTGGGGTGATCAAAAAGATGATATTTGGAGGCAGATTTACTGAATTGTGTGAATGAATAAAGGCTATGGAATGTTGGCAGATTATTGTCATATGTTTCAGCATGCAATGACTTTACTTTAACCCAAATATGAATTATGTATCATATTGCACATATATCGTATCATATTCATATTTTATATTATTTACATAATCCAGAGGCACACCAGTGTAAGGATGATGAGTTTAACTGTAGCTCCGGTATGTGTATCCGCCAATCCTGGGTATGTGATGGGGACAACGACTGCAGGGACTGGTCCGACGAGGCCAACTGCTCAGGTAAGTCCCCAGCTCCATCCTCTTCCTTCAGCACTGCATTCTTGAATTTTCAGTCAGGGAGCATACACTCATAACATCATCACCAGTCACCTGATTACACTACTCAAGACTACACGTCCCATCATTCATTGCGTCAGCGCCCATGTGCCCCTTCATAAAATTTGGCTGACGTACTTTTGCTACTTTACACATCAATGGTTCGGCCCCACCTGGAATATATGCGGTGCAGGACCAGAGCTATGAGACACGGCTACTAAATTTAAACATGTTTACGTTGGAAGTAAGGAAATTAGGGGGGGACATGATTTTCATGTACAAAATGTTCCATAGTCATAGCAACATTAGCAACAAACTCTTTGAGATTAATTCCGTAACAAAGACTAGAGGACACCACCTAAAACTGGTAGGAAAAGAAAATTCAAACACAAGGGGCGGAGGGGGTTCTTCTCAGTCCTCGCGGTTAGGATCTGGAACTCACTGCCTCAAGCGGTAATTTCCGCAATTCATCTGGAATCATTCAAAAGGCTTTTGGACGACTTCCTGCGAGACCGAAATGTACAAGGGTACAGGTACTCTTAAGAATGAGAACACTCATGGACACACACACACACGGACACACACACGGACACACACACGCGGACACACACACGCGGACACACACACGAGAGGCATCTGCTGTTACTACAGCACCCACCCGACCTCAGGGTTTGTTTTTTCCGGCCAGTAGTTCGATGGGACACACTTTGTATTGAGCTATACGCACAAGACACGCCACTTCTCCTCCTGCAAGGGAAGCGATTGACAGTAAGCTCCCAAGGTAATGCTGTCAATCAGTTCCCTAGGAGAAGGCGTGTTTTTCTTTTGGGGTGCCTCTGCGAGTCAGCTCAGGTAGTGTTGTCATGTTGCCCTGGAATCCTCTCCCAGGAATGCGCGTGAATGGGTGGCAGGGTTCCAGGGGGTCTCATTAAGGCAACATAGCCACCTGCAAACAGAATGGGGGGGGG